TGATAAGGGGCACAGCCTAGGAACAACTCAATATAAATCTGAATCCTTGAGATTTGTAGGCAAAAGTACAAAATGAGGACAAACTAACTGAGTTATTCATAACTTTGTTCCAGTACAACATGTAATAATTTCAGGGAAGATTAATCCTGACACAAGAAGGAAAATATTAGAATAGTAAGGAGCCCTGGTGGCACAGTAGGTTAACTGTTGGGCTGCTAACCAAAAGGTCAGCATTTCAAACCCACCAGCTGTCCCACATCTGAAAGGTCTTTCTCTCACAGGAGAAAGACTACACAATCTGTTCCCATTAAGATTTACAGCCTCAGAAATCTAACAGAGGGTCTTCAAGAGTAAGACCAAAATGAGTAATTGTGGGTTTGAATTTATTTTTTTTTAAATCATGTATTTGCATAGGGAGCACCAGTGGCCTAGTGGCAAGGAACTGTGTTGTCAATCAAAAGGCACATGGTTCAAATCCACCAGCTGCACTGCAGGAGAAAGATGGGCAATCTCCTTCAATGCAATCTACTGAATGAAAATTCACTGAAGGGTCAGCTATGAATAAGTTTCGACTCCACAGTACATAACAACATCTAGTGTGCATGTGTATGCACTAGTTGCTAAACAGTTGGAACCAAAATTCAAAGCTGATTCTATGATTTTCAAAGGCTACAAATCACACAGGAGGAAACAGCCCATCTTTATTTCTCCCCCAGAGCAACAGGTGGATTTGAACTGCTCATCTTTGGGTTGACAATGCAACTCTTTACCCACTAACCCACCAAACTAGAAATTAACAATAAAAGGGTTAGACAGATAAGACAAAGACTATACAGTCAATACTGAAGAAACGACAAGTGGGGTGAATGTAAAGAAGCTGGCCATCATAATAGGCATCTGTTCTATACAGAGATGTACCTCAGCATCGAGAACAACTCCTAGTCCACAGAGGTTTCTGAATAAATGTTTATGCAGTGAGTAAGCGACTAAAGGGAAGTGGAGGAATAAACTCAGGCAGTTAATAAGAAAATATAGCAGATACGACATTACCATTTTTTAATGATAAAGAGAGGAGAGATGGGGAAACTAGAAGAAAGCAAAGACAACAAAAGTACATTTTCTGAAGCTTCTACAGTCAGACAAGGCTCTACACTTCAAAAAGACTATTCACCACAAGGTCAAGATGTGGGCTAAAAAATTAGAGAAACTCGCTCAAAATCAAACAGATTCTGAACACTTTAAGGGATAGATCTTGAAGAGTATGAACTAGCTCGCTATAGGATGTTGGAAAACAAAAACGATGAGTTACTTAAAGATGATAAAGAATGGATTCAATGCTACTGTGAAGAAAAATGTGAGGAGGCATATCCAGTACAGAAGAACAAGGTCCAGAAGAAAAACAAAGTCATGAGACTGATGAACTTTTACAAACAAGAAAAACAAGGAAATAGAGCCGCTATTAAACTTTATTTCCAAAATAATATCTACCAGTGAATAAGATAGAAACACAGATAGATATTCCTCTGGTACTCCCTGCTTTCAGCAAAGATCCATATAACATTAGCTACAATATTCCTAATACCGTGACCCCTTCTAAACCCAGCCTGGACTTCTGGCAGTTCTCTGCTGATGTGCTGTTCCAGTCATTTTTGGATAATCTTCAGTAGAATCTTGCTTGCATGGGAAATCAATGATATTGTTCTATAGTTTCCACACTCCGTTGGGTCACCCTTCTTTGGAATGGGAACAAATATAGATTTCTTCCAGTCAGTTGGCCAAGTTGTTGTTCTCCAGATTTCCTGACACAACTTGGTGAGCACGTCCAGGGGAGCATCTATTAGCTGAAATATGTCAATTGGTATACCATCTATTCCTGGGGCCTTATTTTTTTGCTATTTCCTTCACAGCAGCTTGAACGTCTTCCTTCATCACCATAGGCTCTTGCCCATATGTTGTTTCATTAAATTCTTCTATGTCTGCCAATTCCTTTCGATACAGTGACTCAGTATATTCTTTCCATCTTCTTTTAATACTTCCTGGATCATTTAATATTCTGCCTAAAGCATCCTTGATTATAGCAACTCGAGGTTTGAATTTGTTTTTCAGTTCCTTGAGCTTAAGAAATGCTGAGTGAGTTTGGCCCTTTTGATTTTCCGACTCCAACTCCTTGCACATTTCATTGTAATATTGTACTTTGTCATCCCATGCTGCCTTTTGAAATCTTCTGTCCAGTTCTTTAGTATCTTGAATTCTTCATTGTGCTTTGGCTTCTCTGCACTCCAGTGCAAGTTTCTTCTGACATCCATTTTGGTCTTTTCTTCCTCTTCTGTCTTTGTAGTGAACGTTTGCACTCTCCTTGGATGATACCCTTGATATGCTCCCACAACTCATCTGGTCTTCGACATTAGTGTTCAAGGCCTCAAACCTGTTCCTGAGATGGTTCTGAAATTAGTGTAGACTCAAAGTCATATTTTGGTTCCCATGGATTCAGTTTAATTTTCCTAAGCTTGGTGGTCTGTTCCACAATCAGCTCCTGGCCTAGTTTTCACAGGTGATATTGAGCTTCTCCAGCAGTTCTTTCTGCAGATGTAACCAATCTGATTCCTATGCATATATACCATCAGAGAAGACTGGGAGAAGAAGAATGGGAATCCCAGAACAGTTGAACATGCTAATGCGAAACCTATACTTGGACCAAGAGGCAGTCGTCAGACAGAGCAAGGAAACACTGCATGGTTCAAAATTGGGAATGGTGTACGCTAGGGATGTGTCCTATCTCACCTTTTCAACCTGTATGCAGAACAGATTATCCGAGAGGCTGGGCTCTATGAGGAGAAATGTAGCATCAAGATCTATTAACAATCTGTGTTATGCAGATGACACAACCCTGCTTGCTGAAACTGAGGACGACCTGAAGTACTTGCTACAGAGGGTCAAGGACTGCAGCCTTCAATATGGATTGAGGCTCAATGTCAAGAAGACAAAGATTCTCACCACTGGACCAATTGGTGAAGAGATAGAGATTGTTCGCAGCTTTAGTCAGCTTGGCTCCACAGTCAACACTCTTGGCACCAGCAGCCAGAAAATTAAAAGTCATATTGCAATGGGAAAATCAGCTGTTGGGGATCTCTCCAAAGTACTGAAGAGGAGTGGTGTCTCTCTGGAGACTAAGGTGCATCTGATACAGGCCATGGTCTTTGTAATCACTTGTTTTGCTTCAGAGAGTTGGACAATGACTAGGGAGGATAGAAAGACAACTGATGCCTTTGAGCTGTAGTGCTGGAGAAGAGTACTGAATATACCATGGACTCCTAAGAAAACAAACAGATTCATCCTGGAGAAGGTTACACCGGGCTGCTCCTTGGAGGCAAGGATTCTGAGGCTTCATCTGACATACTTTGGTCATGTTGTTAGGAGAGACCGGTCCTTGGAGAGAGACATCATGCTTGGGAGAGTGGAGGGCAGGCACAGGAGAGAAAGGCACTCTAGGAGGTGGACTGATTCGGTGACTGGGGTAAGCGGATGGGTGTGTCGGAGACAGTGAGATTGGCATAGGACAGAGCAGAGTTTAGGGCTGTTAAACATAGGGTTGCTATGAGTCGCAAGCGACTCGACAGCACATAACAATAACCAGTGAATAGTGAAGTCGATACAGAAGGGAAAACATTTTATTAAATGAAAGGAAACAGACATCCCTGGTAGGTACAAATGGTTAATGCATTCAGCTGTTAATCAGAGACTGGAAATTTAAATCCACGGAGAGACATCTCCTAAGAAATGTTAGTGATCTTCTATATCAGCTGTTGAAAACGCTGTGGAGGGCAATTCTACTGTGACATACATAAGGTCAACATGACTTGGAATAAACTCAAAAGCAACTTGATTTTTTTTTTCTTCATTTTTTCCTTTTTGTGTACTGTCGGATTGGATCCAACTAGCACAGGAAGAGATTGCCTCTTCTCCAGCATAGCATCTGGTGAATTTGTACTGTGCGCTTTCAGGATTACAATGCAGCTTCTTGCCACTAGGCCACAAGAGCTCCCTGCAACTTGATTTTTTGAAGGAAACTGAGCCTTGGCATTGATCATACTGCTGTGCACTGTGCTGGGGACCACACGATGGTTTTGATGTGGTAGAGCAGTTGTTGGCTGCTAACTGAGAGACGAGCAGGTAGAATCCACCAGTCACTGCATGGGAGACGGATGTGGCTGGCTACTTCAATAAAGACAAAGCCTAAAAAATCCTCCGGAGTAGTTCTATGGAGTAGGAACCTGGTCCTACAGGATCACTGGAGTCAGATTATTAGATAGCAACAGATTGGTTTGAATGAAACTGAACAGTCTCATCCTAGAGAGGGTGAGACCAAGATGGCAAGGATTCTGAAGCTGCATCTGACGTATTTTGGACATGTTGCAAGGAGGGACCAATCCTTGGAGAGGGATGTCATGCTTGGAGGGTGGAGGGACAGCGCAAGAGAGGAAGACCCTCGGTGAGATGGATTGATTCAGTGGCTGGGGTAATGGGGGTAGGTGTCTTAGAGACAGTAAGATTGGCACAGGATAGAGCAGGGTTCAGGGCTGTTGTACATAGGGTTACTATGCGTTGCAAGCGATTCGATGGCACATAACAACAACATCATCCAATTAACTTGACTAAAACCAAAGAACATTTATTGAATCTTGATGTTTATAAGGGAGCTCTGGTGGCACAGTATATTCAGAGTTGTGTTGATAACGGAAAGGTCACTGCTTTGAATGCACCAGTAGTTTTGAAGGACAGTCTCCTCAGATAAAGCTTCACAGTCCTGGAAACCCAATGGAGGGTCATTTTTAAGTGGAATTGACTCTATGGCAATGGGTTTTGGATATATTATTGCAAGTAATCACAAAGCTTTTCACAACAATTTGGCCTTTCATATGTTCCAAACAGGGCATTAAAGTTTTGAAGAATAAAACTAATCATTATGAGGGGAAATAAACATCAGAATATGGTCCTATTACCTTTTTGGGTCAAGTTGTTCCAGAAGGGAAGCTGGGCGTGGGCAGTGTGTGCGTAGAACACTCTCACATCTTGAGGGGCAAGCAGTTCAACAAAATGAGAAGACTCCAAGAAATCTTTTTCACAATTTAAGATCGAAGTAGCCTGTTCAGAAATGTACACTAGCCTTCCAGACAGAAAGGAAAAAACGGCCACAAAGGTGTCCTGTGAAAAACATTTACAAATCTTGAAGTACTTACTGGCAATACACAGTAGGAGGTAAATTTTTTCTAGTATTCTACCATAATTAATAATTTAAAACACATGCACATATATTATAATGGCAAGAAACTACAAATCATTTTTTCCAATATATATATATACACACACACACATATACATACATATATACATACATATTTGGGTTAAAGTTAGTTAGTTAGTTTCATTAGAAAAGATATATTTCAGAGGGAGATGGGTCAGTTCTCCAGAAGTACAGAGGTAGAGAAAAAGAAAAAGTAAGTATTATCAGAAAACTGGAATTTTATCTTCTCAATGTTTGATTTCCATGCCAAAATATAGGTTCATATATATACAAGCTCATTCTATGAGACTAAACAAACATATAAAGCTCTGATTTTATATTTGCACGTTGCGCCTTATACACTTGGGATGGAGGATTGTCTTCTACTCACTGAGTAAACAGTGTCTGCTTCAAGAGCAAACTCAAGACACATCTCTATTAAGGAATTGTCCTTAATCAAGCTCTCATAAAAATCACATCTCTAATTTGTTCCATCAGATATAAGTGAAATACACTTACAATCAGCTACTGTGTGTACCTGCCAGCATTGGCAAGTTTGCATCCTAACATAAAGATTTTAAAGGGCAAATGTTAGCACTTTCTATAGGATCATTTTCCCACCAGTCAATAAAGTGGCACTTTTACAATCCTAGAGGTAGCTCATGTTCCTAAATGATAACATCTTGAAGTTATGATTATATTGAGGTTTAAGCATCCATTAAATAATAGCTACCATTACTAACACAAAGCATAATTAATCTGTCACTGTGAAGGGATTCAACAAAGATACAACAAACATCTCTTCCAAAGTTTCATAAACTACGATAACATCACCACACCTGTTCTAAAAATCCAGTTGTCACTTGAAGTGGTAGGTACTGGAACTCAGACTGTTTTAAATAGAAATGAACAATTCTAAGATTAAGATAAAATGCAGAAAGTTACTCTGCAGTTTATTTGTTTGATTCTTTCTTTGAAAGGATTCAGGGATGGCAAGGAGTTAGAAATACCTCATAACCGAAGCAGACCAGCTACCCGATGTACTGCTTCCTACATTAGGATGTGTTCTCTGTTAAGAACTGCAAACTACATAATGCCTCCTTAGTAATCTTTTTCCTTGTGTTTACTTCAAACTGTGGTAACTGAAACATATTGTTTTTTAAAATCTGCAGCTAAACAAGAAGTTTTCAGAAAAGTCACCCAGGTTGGTATGGCAAAATTCATGAATTCTTACTGTGTTTTTAGAAGTATGTTCCGAGGCAATAGTGGTGAGCTTCTCAAGACTGTACGTGGTCACATCTGCTTGAGGTGCTCCTTTCTGACTGAGAATCTGGAAAAACTCACTGTTTGCTAGGAAACACAGGAAAATAAATAGCTAGTCCAGTGGCAACAGTATCATTAGGAAATCACTTTTATCACTCAAGCTGCCTAATTTTTTAAGACAAGGACATAACAGTGTGTTTTCCTCAGAATCAGGGCATTTTCTTCTTTCCCCTAAAATGTAACCAGTGGTGTAAACTTAAGATTTGAACTTTCTTCAAGAAAAAAAAAATTAGCTCCTTATGAATTTACAATTTTCTTTATCACAAGGAGCAGGATACATTAATGTAACTAAAATGAGAACCATAAACTTAATTACACACACATACATGCTATTTATATATGTGCATAATGTTTTATGACAGAAACATCACTCCAGTACTCAGAACATATGAAGCCTTAGATGTTTCTGCTAAAGGGAACACAAAGGATATTAAGTTCCCTGAACAGTCAGATATTTATAAATTGGGTAAATTCATGTTGGTAAATTCCTAACAGATTATATTGTCTTAAAAGTGTGTGTATGAAAGGAAAAAAAAAAGTGTGTGTATGATTTGGAAACAAACATATACTTAGTAAAGTGTATTTTTTTTTTCCTTCTAATGCCCACTGAAGATGAGCCCTTTTAAAAAGTTAATACTCAAAATGTGCTTCTGCTAAACATTAAGGTCTTGTAACAGGTTAACAAAATAGTGCCTATGTCCTAAAATATTCAGCAAATAAGGTTCTCTGGGTGGTTCTGAATTTGAAAGCTTAAGACACTAATGCAATCACTGTCACTCAGCTCATCTTACAGAAAACATCCTGAGAACGTCCAGGGATTACTGTGAGTAAAACCCCACTGTGAGCTTTGCTGGGTGCCTTTAGACAAATGGCTTTTCCCTCCTGCTGGATTACCTTGCACGCTGTGCACACATCGAAGGGCATAGTTGAGGGCGTCCAAGGTGCTGGGTTTGCTGTGCCGTTCTGATGGGAAGTACTTCTTCATTTCCTGCACCACCATCAAAAGTTCTTCAGAAACTCTTACTCGATCCTGCTGCACACTGTTAAGATTTAAAAAAAAAAAAAAAAATCCACTCACATCTGCAAGGATAATAACAGCCAAGATTTACTGTACACAGTGTTGGCCATTTTCCAAGCGCTTAAATCTGCATTTGGTTCACAAGTTCCCCGGTGGCGCAAACAGCTCAGTTGCTGAGTAAACAAACAGTAGAGTTCGCGTCCACCCAGGGACACCTGGGAAGAAAGGTCCTGGTGTTCTATTTCCGCAACATTAGCCATTGAAAATCCTAGAGAGCGCAGTCTACTCTGTCACACGTGCGTAGCCATGAGCCTGGCGCTGATAACAACTGGGAAAAACTAATTTACAGAAAGGGAAACTGAGGCTAAGGATCGCGTAAATGTCAACCATCTCCCACACTTTCATTCCCTTTCATTCCCTTTACAAGCTTAACTCAGCTAAATTCTGTAACCACTTTTTATGTTCTCGCTGATACTCCTGGATCATTTTCTCCATGTCCCCGATCATCATCTCCTGCTTCTTTTGTCTACGCCTCCCCTTAAACTGTCCCGTAGGTTTTAAAAACAAAAGAATAAAAACTATGCTCTGCTTCCTCTTTCACGAACTACTCCAGGGAAGAACACAAACCCAGGCAGATTGTGAAATGCAAACAAAGGCGTCACCTGTTGCTGTCCCTGCAGCTCCGGGGCAGTTGGTAGCTCTGGCTCCACGCCGCCGTGTTGGGTTCTGCTCCTCGGGGCTCCCTCCCGCGGGACTGGGGTCCTTCAAGCTCCTCGGCCTCGTTTCCCCTGGAGTCGGGAGCCCGATCACCGGGCAGGTCGAGATCTTCGCAGAGCTCCATCTCGAGCTCGGCGGCCCTCCTCTCGGTCGTCTGCTTCTTGTTTATTGTGGAGCCAGGCATTGAAGTTTACTTGTGATTTTGGTCCCTGCCATCGCGTCAGGGAGAGGGAGCGGCCATCACACACCAGGAATTAATGATTTGTGATCACCGGGAAGCACTTTTCTCCCCGTGTTTCCATACACCTTCCAGGACGATTGCACAGCGAAAAGTCCGGTTTGGGGGGACAAAAGTGACAGGTGTCCAGTGAAACATACGACCAGTTCCGGAGACAGGGGTCCGCTAGGACTTGTGAGCCACCGGGAAAATCCTCCGTCCCTAGTCGCTTCACTAAGAATCCAAATTCACTCAACTTTGCACAGTTCTGCAAAGTCGGCGCGCGCCCAGAACCGGGCAGGGGAGCAGGGGTCCCGGGAACGCACTCAGTTACGGAGCTGCAGCTCCAGCCTCGGACAGCGAGGGCAGGCTCGCGCAAAGAGGCCACCGGCCCAGCGTTCACGCCACCGGCCCAGCGTTCACCCCACCGCCCGCCCCTCCGCCCAGACAAGCGCGCGCTAGTCTCGAGGCTCGCCGCGTGTCGGCGCCCGCGTCTCTCGGCGCCACGTGAGGGCGCCCCGCCCCCGAGTCCCGCGATTGGCTGTCTCGGCCAGCTACACCGACTCCCATTGGCCTGGGGGCGAGGCTTGAAGCCGAGGCTCCCAGTTACATAATGAGGGTGAGTTGGGCGGGGGCGAAGGCCTCAGAAGACGTTACATAAGGCACGGGGGGGTGGGCGTAGGGCAAGGCTCTGTCAGTCTCCATAGGCTGGCGTGGACGTAAGGGGCGGGGTAGCCTTGAGGAAGCTCAGGTCCAGTTAGTAATAGGGTACTGCGGCTGCCAG